CATGTAAAGTTACTGCTATTACAGGCTTAAAGGGTTACCAAACAGGAGAGGGAGAGGGAGGGATCAGCAGCAAGAGCACATGATCTGAGAATAACACGGAACATGACATGGACCGAGCTTCTCTGAGGATCCCCTGCTACCACCTTGTCCCCAAAAAGGACAAAGAATTTTTTGGGGGCAATAATCTCGAGCTGTGGGATGCAAAACAAGCCAAGCAGGGGCTGCCCTGGGCCGGTTTGGGTCCCAGTGGGACTCACCATCACCACAGCTCCCTGCACTGCGGGGTGGCACCAGTGCCCCCAAAGCATGGAGAGACTGAGCCCCAGTTCAGGGGAAGTTCACTGGGTTGTCTGGGCTGGGCAACAGAGTGGAGGCAAAGAGAAGCAGCAAACAATAGAAACTTAGACACAGGAGTGGGCAGAGTGGGGAAAAAATGTTCTGTTCACTAAAGAGAGAGACAGGGAGGTGGAGAAGCAGCAACAGGAATGACTCAGGTCATAGAGAACAACAAAAGAAATCTGCTGTAAGCAAACAAACCCAGGCAGGATGAAGGCCATGAAAACCTGCAAAACAGAGTACACAAAAAAACATATTTTCCAGCAAGCTGACAAAAACACGTCTGTGGGACTGAGAGCATAATCAAAGCTGAGCATGAAAAGGGCTGTGAGGAAGGCAGAGCAGAGGCAGGCAGGGAGCAGACCCAGGGAGAGCAGAGCAGAGCAGGGAACAGGAACACGGCGATCACCCACGCTCAGAGCTCAGGCCACAGACACTGCCTGTGCCCACAGGTGCTCTGGGTGAGGCTTCCTCTACCATCCCTGACAGCTGAGATGGACTCACAGCACAGAGCACATCTGCAGCTCCAGTGAGTGCCAGGGCAGTGCAAGGGGTTGGGAGGAGAGCAGGGGTGCCTGTCCTTCCCCCTGCAGCCACACTGGGAGTGGAGTCCTTCAAGTGAATTTATTTCTTGAATGAGCCAAAATAACAGGAATGCCGAGGCTGAAAGCACTGGAGTGAGTTCAAAGGACAGCATTTCCACTGGGAAATAAATCTCTCACCATTTTGTATAATTAGACAAGGAAAACGAAAAACTATTTCAGAAAGAATTCCCAGAAGCAATATCCAAGGAGGAGGTGAGAGGTGTGCTGGGCAGGAATGTGGGGCTGGGCTCTGCTGCCAGTGCCACAGGAACACGGGTGGCATCTCCAGCAGCAGGGCTGGAGGAGCTCCAGGACCACTGAGAGATGTGCCAGGACCACCGAGAGATGTGCCAGGACCACCAACAGGTGTGCCAGGACCACCGACAGGTGTGCCACCAGGAGCACTGGGACAGGAGCAGGGCACAGGGAGCTCCAGAGGCACAACCCAGCCCGTGTGGAGGAGCCAGCACACACTGAGGGGACACACTGCAGGAGGGGGAGGCAGAGAACAGAGGAGGGACACGGGAGGGACACGGGAGGGACACGGGAGGGACACGGGAGGTTTGGGGCTGGGAGTTTGGGGAC